GGAATCAATGGGACTTTAACGAATTTACTCGCGAGCGCATGATCATATTCTACAATAACTCTGCACCTGCAGCCGTCAATAGTTTAGTAACGAACGTCGCGGCTTCGGTGCTTTCTTTAATTGCGGCATGGTTTGGGGCAGACATTATCGCTGCTAATGCTATTGTATCGGGATTTTGGCGTTTATTGTGGGCACTCTTTTGGGGATTTGGAATGGGCACACAAATTCGTGTTTCTAATTTATTGGGTGCCAACAGACCGAAAGCCGCCAGATTATTAAGTATTCTTGGATTTATATGCACTGTCATTACCGTAACACTGCTCGCGTTGGGTGCTCTTGTCATTCGTGCGGATGTATTCCGATTGTACACGGACGATGAAGACTTGCTTAACATATGCGCGTCAGTACTGCCAATTTTCATCGTTGCGTTTATGGTAGAGGCAACAGAGATGGTTTCTGCCTCAGTTTTGGCCGCTATGGGTCAAGTACATATCACTGCATGGACCAGTGCACTAGCTACATGGCTCGTCGAGTTGCCCACTGCTTATATATTTGCAGTCGTACTTAAAGGTGGCTTCAAGGCGCTATGGTACTCAATTTGCCTTATGGAGATACTTAAGCTAATTGTGTACATATTTGTGTTACGTCGAATCGACTACGTTGAGATGGCGCGAGTAGCTGTCAAAAATATGGAAGTGGAGAATGACAACGAAGGGGTCGAGGGTGGAAGTGCGGCGTACAGTCCCCTCCCCACAACGGTCATGACACCTACAGCTGCTTAGTGCAAACTACAAAAAGTCGATAAACTTTACTTAGACAGACTGTAATACATGTTGCGCCATCAACCAATTAATAATACTGACATCACTGACTGAGTTAAGAGTGTGTTAATTCGACGTGGTATCACGCCGAATCACGTCGTAATTATGGCTTTGGATCGTCCGATTTCGCTCATGCTTTTTGTGTGGAGATCGTGCACGAGACAGCCGCCGTCAACTTGACTTCACACTTTCAACATTACCACACAGTCAACCAACAAAGTGGCGGGAGTGCTTTACAAGATAACG